TGAATTTTTCTAGTATCCAAAAAATTAGAAAAAATATCGTCACATCTTTGATGATTAATATACCCACACTGCACTTGTTATAATCAATTTATATTTCATTAATTTCGTACCGTTTCTTTTTTTATAATCCGTTTTTTCTCACGATCCGCACTTATACCATACTATCCCGCATATTTTTTTTACCCGCACCGTTCAATCTAATGTTACCATTCGGACCAAGAACAAAAAAATCAAACATGGACGTAGTTTTACATTTTAGACTAGAAAGCAAAACTTATTTTTTTCTGTTCCTTGATTGGAAATTGTGTGTAGTACATATTTCTTCTGAAAGCTTCTTCAAATCTTGATCTCTCTTTTGTCTGTGAGCTTCTCCAGCGAATGTTTGTGCATATTTTTCTTTTTGTCATAGTATGCCGACTGTCGGTAGTCGTCTAATCCTCTTAAAAAATAAAAAGAAATGTGTGTCTTTATTCCTCTAGTTTTCAATTCAGTTTTCTTATTTCTATTGTTTTGCTTGATGTTATTAGCATTTTTGGGTTGTTTTCTTATTTCTATTGTTTTGCTTGATGTTATTAGCATTTTTGGGTTGGTGTCAGTTCTTTTGATTTAGCTTCGGTCTTGTACAATTTTCCTATTTTGGGGTTTGGTTCTCCCTCTTTTGGACTTAGGTTTATTCTCATTTGGATTATGTTTTTGGAGACTTTCATATTTTTCCGTCGGTTTTTGTAATTTCAATTTATGTCGCATGTAGTCGAAAACATGGAACGAAACATACATAAATGTGGAAATGGTATTTTTTTAAAAGTTAGGAAATGAATACGTTTTTGAAGCGTATAACCATATATATGTATATATAGTGTAATCTAAATAATACCAGACATTGAAGATTAAATCAAATTGAAAACATCGTTTGAAATTCGGAATATAAATCGAAAACATAAAAGTAGTACGTAATTTAATTAGAAAAAAACAAACCATAATTCTTCCAAATTGGCTATTCATATTTCTATTTATTTAGATTTTTCTTTTTAAATTATAATAATCATTAAACTTTCTAATATTTATCTTTTTACGTCTTCAAAAATAAAAAATGATTCTGAGCATGTTCGTTTGTCTACCGCTGCGGTAACGTCTAAAAACTTGCGATCAAACATTGCGACCAGACTCTGCGATTAATGTTCATTTGACAGCCGCAGCGTTCAGTCTCAGCGTTTGTTCGTTAACAAACGCTGCGATCAATCGCATCGTCTGGTTGCAAGTTATGTTTGTTACACAACCGCTGCG